TATTTATGTTTTCTTATATATTTCAATGGATAAAGGAATCTATATTGACTTAGTATTTCTATAAAACATTGACTCATGTTTGTTTTCCTTCACTTATGTTCTCAATTCTGGCCGTGGCGACGAAAATTAAGGCGACAGTAGTTTACCGAAATTAAAATATTGTAAATCGATTCAAAATAGACAAACCAAGATAACAAACAAAAACTGAGAGAAAATCATGAACTCCAGAGTAGCGCGATCGGGAAAGCTAGGCATGCATAACCAGTCATGCGAATTTACACTCAGTCATAAAAACTCTTTTAGTTATAAAACTCTTTGAGTATTCATGTACTTATTTATCATTGGCTTTCGGATGATTGTGCTTTAGCGTCAGAAACGCGCTTCAGACAATCCAAACGTATTAAGTATTATTTCATTTTAAAAATTCACACATTTTGCAAAATTTCTCATTAGATTTTTATTTGAAACATTAAGACATTTTTCAAACGCTTTTATTTCTCAGGGTTTTCACATTCTGAAGCGAACTCCCTTTTCTAAATTGATATCGATTTAAAGTACACTAAAAGTAGTTAAAGGGGTATAAATTCAAATCGATAGAATTTTTCAATAATTTGCCAAAATGTAGTCTATATCATACAGTTTTGTTTAAATATGATATAAGATATGGGTCACGGTGCTTTTTGTTGAGCAAAACTGTCCAGAACTAGTTTTTTTGCTGCAAAACAAAATAGGTAAATTCCTAACATATTACTTACTAAAAGTTACATAATCTGTGTTATCTCCCCTTATATAGCAAAGTTGAAAAAACTTTAAAATCAAACAAAAAATTTTAGGTTTGTAAAATCAGTCGTAAAAATGAGATTAAATACATAATTTTCTTCATAAATATGAAAAGTCTTACAAATGAATTACAATTCTCTCTCCAATATGTACATTTCATTTAACATCTACCTTTAACATTAATGTATAAAAATTTTGGTAAATATTTCCATTACACAGATGTTACTAAAAAAAGATTTACCCTATACATTAGCAAACAACAATTATAAAGTGTTTTCCGCTGACATTGACTCTGTGAAGGCATCGTCTTTGACAAATTGTAATCTCAACGAAAGAGTTACGACAACGCAAATCAGTCATATCTAATAATAAAATAAGCTCTTTTCACCGTGTAAGGGGAGGGTTTAGAGCTCTCAAACGAATTAAGCCAAGCTACATTCTATATGTGTCTATCCGAGACAGTAATTAACTGGTTGTCGTTGATTGCTGCCGGTTGATATTTGTTTTTCCTTTATTGTATTGTCATTAACTAGGCCGATGTTGTTGTTCCTTTATTGTTTTGCATTTTGATATTTCGATGCCCTTTACACCTGACTATACAGTTATTGATTAAACTTATTGTTGAACACGATGAAGTCAGCTGTCGCAAGGTTTTGTATCTTAAGGATGTATTCTTCTGACGTTTTAGTCTCGTTGAAATCTCGTTCTGGAATTATTTCCAAAATATGTGATACAAGTGGAAAATACAAATGAATTTAAAAAATATAATCAAAACTAACTCTGTGTAAAAATTGTGTATTTGCTATAAGTAGTTTTCATTAGTCAAAATGTTGAAAAAATGGGTGAGGGATACAAGAAATGATTTTACCAGATACATGTACATCCCCTATCAATTTTTTCTTTTCAAATTTCTTAGATATGTATTTTTTTCAATCATTTATAACAAAGAAGTTGATTTAATATGCTTTTTGTTCTAAAAAAAAAATCCCATACTGACAAAATTGACAACATGGTAAATTTGACACGAAAAAGCTACAAAATTTTATAAAACTTTCTTATATTAACACCTAATTACAGTTGTTTCAAGGTATATTTATTGAGAGTGGTCCACTTCATCTTTAGTGAAAGTATGAAAAAAAGGTTTAATTGTGAAACTGTGATTTGTTTCATGATAATAGCTCAAAAAAGGGTAAAAATTGATGAAAAATGAGAAAATCATCAAATTTGGGTACTTTCAAATGGCTGTACCAAAAAAAAAAAGAAGTGCACCACCATATGATTTTTTCTTCACCTTAATTTGTTTAGAGTCATATAAAACCAAAAATCAGGTTAAGAAAAAAAGTTTAATTCTAGAAATGTTTGGCTCCTCAGAGATGTACATCCTTAATGCATTTGAAATATATTTTTCCGTCGCTGTCTTTCGAGTGGATTTCATACAAAAGGAAAACCGAAAATGCGAAAAACTTTATCTTTTGTAAACTAACATAAATGCAATATTTAAAATCATTAAAGTAGAAAAGATTAAAATGATTTTCTGATAAGGATAAATCCAAACAACTAAAGAGTTTGCGACTTATTTCAGAAACAATCTTACCAGAAAATATACTCATGAACATTTCAGTATGCGATTAATTTTAGTCGCAAGATTGTTTTGTAAAAAGAGTCCGTGTCGCCGCTCACCTAGTTATATTTGCATTTTCTACAATGTAGACTCTCAAACACTGTGGACTTGAACAGAATTCATGACAAACATATTATATGTTTTTTGTTGATCTTGTATTGCTAATCATTTTTTGCGATTGTAGTTTCTTTCTATCTTCTTTCGTTTTTGCCCAAAACACAAAAAAGGGTAGAAAAACTATCATTTCAAGGCAACAACTCATCTTAAGGGTCAAGTAACGATTTCAGCAAAATTTGACTTCTTTGTAGATTTTGTCTAGCTGATAATTTTTGCTCTTTTAGGTGTCTATCTATCTTATCTACTTTTCAGGAAAATAGGCAAAAACCCAAAATATTGTTACAACATCGTCATTTAAGACTGATGATTTCAGACATTTGACTTATTTGTGGATCTTGTCTTTCTCTAAAACTCTAAAAAGTAGTGAACTGACGATTTCGGCCATTAGAATTATTTGTAGATCTTGTCTTGCTGGTCGTTTTGCTTCATTAAAATTTTATTTATCCTTTTTAGTTTTTCAGATGTTAGACAAAAACGCACATAACTGGTAAAAATCGTCATTAAAGGGCAATAACTCCAATCAGGGGTCGTCAGTCAATTTCAACCATTTGCGTTAATTGTAGATCTACTCTCGCTGATCAATTTTGATTTTGAAAGTTCTCTCTTTCTATTGTTTTATTTAAGATAATAGGCAAAAACATAAAAAAAATGATAAAAATCGTCCTTAATGGGCAAAAACTCCAATAAGAAGTCGCCTGACGATTTCCACCATTTGACTCATTTGTAGCTCTTGTCTTGATGATGGTTTTTGAATTTAAACGTTTGTCTCTAATTTTTTTTCAAGATTTTAGTCAAAATTAAAACAAAATGTTATATTCGTCATTGAAGAGCAATAACTCTTATAAGTAGTCGTCTGACAGTTTTGATATAAATAGACAATAGGTAGATCTCATCGTTCTGAACATTTCTATTCAGTCAGATTTTTTTCTGTTTAAGGCTGTTTTCAAGATATTAGTAAAATCATTTACCCCTATTTCCATTTTTAACCATGTTGGTTGACAGACGGAGTAATCGGACACATTTATAAAACTAGATACCCGAATGAGGATTGTTGCAAAGTTTGTTAAACTTAGCCAAGTAGTTTCAGAGAAGAAGATTTTTATAAAAGTTAACGACGACAGACGACGACGGTCGACGGACGGACGCCAAGTGATGAAAAACGTTAACTTGCACCTTTGGTTCAGTCGAAATCGTGTTCATCTGATAATGTTTAAAATAAATCGCTCTTTTTGATGAGATCTTCATATAAACACATAATAGAGAAGTCCTGACTCATTCGTGATGCTATCGCAACTTTCGGACGCACAATGCTTGTGTAAAGGACAATTGAACACGACTCAAATTGGTTTATCTCCTGTTTACCAAAGCAAAATAATCTCATTTATAATTTACATCAATTAGAGGCACCAGTTGCTTACTTAATCAAATCTTATCAATTCATTAAGAAGATACAGTTCATGGTAAACAAAATCAAACTAAAAACTAAGACACTCATTTCAAATTGATTAAAATTACCAATAGATATACAATATGTGTACATCGTCGGAAAATATAAATTCATTTGTACGAACTTTGGTAACAGGACAAAAAGCGAGGCTCCTGTTTCGTAGCGAGTACAATTTATTTTTTATATTTTCGACACTGTATATATTATATTGTTTTTATCCTGTAATTTACAACCGTCTCTTTAAGGTTTAGCTGTTTAAATCCAAATAAGTGTCTCTGATTTAGCAAAGAAATCGACATAGTTTAATCACGTACCTCAAAGAGGACCCCAAAATGAACTGTCACAAAAACAGAAATATTCATTATACCGTACTTTTTTAATATTTATTTTGTTGTTGTTTAAATAACACAAATGTAAATAATGGAATAAAGAAAAGCATCTAGCTATCTGCATGCTATCTAAAGCACTAATAGTTTGCTATACAACATATTTGCACCACTATCTGCAACCAACTTGCATAAAAATGAAGAGTAATATACACAGGGTTCATTTTCTCTCACTGTTTTGTTAAGTAAACAATTGTCTTGAAAATACCTAAGCAGACAGCGTGTGTCCTACTTGTTCAAAATATATTTGTAAGAACCTAAGGAGAAGGTATGATAAAGCCACCTGTCTGGTTCTAGAATTCAAATATCCAACAGTATCATAAATATATTAAATAACAAACACCTTTCAGGTGGAAAAGTACATTTATCTGTCTTTTCTTTGCCATGGTATAAACATAAAGTGCTGTGGTATAATGCCATGAAGACAGCTTTCCATGAAAACTAAAAATCAAGGATGTAGTCGAATGATTAATTGTGTCTAATATGCATTCGGTTTTCTCTATTGGCTTTAACAAATGGTGATTTACCCGAGCTAATATATATTGAATAGAGGTCCATAAATAAGCTACCTATAAACAGAGAATTGGAAAGTTCTAACTTAAGGTTAGCATAAAAATTCAATTTCATTTTATAAGTTAATCTATTTTATTTAGCACTCGACAATAGAACATGGGTTTTCTTTCAACATCTTCTCAAATGGATTTTTCTTTGGAATACAATCAACATCGCTGCTGACGCCATATCTTCGTATTTTAACAGACTCAGTTTTGCCATCTTTTTCAACAGCATCTATTCGAACTGCATTATTAACTGACATTCCAGGGCTCTCATCAAAATAGTTAAATGGTATTAGATAGAAACTACGAGACATTCCTGGTGTGTGGGTACTAGGCAAGTCTTCCTTCTTAGGAATGTGGTACATTCCCATTGAAACCCAGGCAACAAGGTCCTGTCAACATAAATACATATAGATTCATTGAATATTTATACAAAAGCTTAGTTTTGTACCATTTTTTAAACTATAATAACATAAACGGATTGAATGAATTTTATCCTTGGAGAATGTAAGAATTTTAGAAAACTATCTACTCAAAACTTTTCAAGCACAATCGTTCAATATTGCAGTATTATCAAAACTTTTTACATCTATCCTTTACACTAGTAATTTCCAGTGTCAATTTAAAGATTGACTACAACATCTTATTAAACAGAGCTTGTTCTGCATATGACATGTATTATGCTGAATTCATACAGATCTTTCATCAAGACAAAAAGAAAAGGTATCTTGCAAATGAAAAAAAAAAACACTTTATAGATTTCGAGAGTCCTAAGTGTTTTTCTGGAATTGACTTCATTGAGAACTCTGAAAACATAATTTCATATCCAAACATCGGTATAATTCAAATCGCCTTAATTTATCCATTATTTCTTTAACTACGTTCTAATTGCATTATTTCCCTAACATTGTATATTTTTTCCTAGTTTTCATAGTGAAAAATTTAGTATATAAAAGATAAGGAGATGAGGTATGATTGCCAATGAGACAACTATCCACCAAAGTATACTTTTTTTCCAATATCTTTTAATTTGTTGTAAATGAAACATACTATAAATATACAAAAAAAAATGTGCTCAAAATTACGGATCATACTATTCTATGAGTATAATGCACAAGGTTATTTCAACAATTTTTACTTCATTGTCAACAATACTGAATGAACAAAGTCATTACTTCTTTTTCGGTAGAGTATAATTTTCCTTTATGCTTTCTATCAATATAGATCACTGGTCCCTGAGAATTTTCTACACTTGAGTTAACTTTTTATAGTAAATTGATGGAATGATATAAAGTATTGTAAATGCTTAAAACTTAAAACAGACCTCGATTTCTACCAACGGCGAAACTTTGATAAATTGCATTATAAGCTAATTAAAAGGTAATTTCAATAAAAAGTAATAATGAGAATTACTACGAATGATATTTGTGAAAAATATTTTACCTTACTTTACTTTTTTAAACGTATCAAAAGGTTTACTTTCAAGAAATTTACCCTACGGTGCAAAACAACTGTTCGCTTTTAAATACTAAATTCGAAATATGAGAATACCGACATTACATAAAAAAAGATGTTCTCCAACAGTAATTTTCGAAACATTTAATTTACTATTAAAATAAATCCATATCATTGTTGGAGGGGACTCTTATATTGAGAGGACAAAAATAATGCAATAACATTAACGGTACCAATTTTACTGCGTATTTTGACAATCAATGTCAATTCAGTGATGCTCGAGAGGCCAAAATTTGGAAATCCAAAACTTACCAAAGTTGGAAGCATTCCTATAACTGATATTTTTGTGTATGAATACTTTACCTGATCTACAATATTTTCGTTATCGTCAATGAACTCTTGAAAATTAAAAACAGGATTGTAAGAATGTGCAAACATGTTGCTACTCGATGGTTCACTATCTTTGTACTTAGTTACGGCAACCTGATATTGCGACCAGCTGGCAGCTGGATTGTTTCCATCATCTGGAGGTCTTGTGTTTTTTATCATTCCTTCATTTACCAGTCTATATCCTGCCGAATTGCCAAACTTGTCTTTGACATTATTATTAACAAACGTTAGATACTTTGGAAAGTTGAAGTCAAATTTATAGGCTCCTTCAAATTCAGTCTTCTTAAGTCGTTTTATAAACTGGTTTTGAATAATCGTGGCATTGGGAACATCACTTGCTTCATTTGGAGTAACGACGGATTCAATATCCAGAGTTTCGAATCTGTTCTTTGTTCCTTTAATGTCAAGGTCAACTTTGAAATGATATAAGTGTTGATGCAGAGGTGCCATGAGGTTATCATCAAGCTGGAAACTAAATGGATTGTCTTGTCCATACCATGTGCTCGCAACAACACCGGAAGCTGTCACTTTAATTTTCATGACGCCATTATGATAAAATATAAAATCAATAATGTACTCATATGGATAGACTGTCGGAATTGTCCTTACTATTAAAACAATATTTTCAACACCTTCATAGAAACTATGAATATTTTTAAAGTATCCATGCTGACGACGAAGTGGTAGTCCTGTGTTGAATTCAAATACACAAATCGAATGTTCATTGAAAAGTGGTTTATCTTGGGTTTCAACCTTGTAAGATGAGCTAAGGAATGTAGCATCCAAAGGACAATCAACTCCAGGTACTAGATATTTTGCTAAAGTTCCTGTCTGGTAGCTGTTGTCTAGATAAAAAGATGTATATTCAAACGGTTTATAGCCGAAATAAAATACTGCTAGTTCCTGTGTGCTAACTTCATATGCAATACGTTCATTTTTGTATCGGATGTCATTTAGCCTTGGTCCACGGAAAGCTGCATTCGCAACATCAAATTCCCAGAAGCCATATGATATATGTCTATCGTAAATATTGTATCGTTTACCATCAGGGGAAACTTGCTGGGGGTCCTTCAAGGGCTTTTCAAATGGAGGCATGCCTCTTGAGGTCAAAATACGACGAGAACTTCCATTGGCATCAGGAAAGGGAACTTTTTGTATATTATGCTTGTATCTATTGTAATACCTAAGAACATCTTCTAAACATTTGAAGAAATGTCCATCGAACCATACTTTCAGCAGAGAAAAATTATCAAGTTCCGATTCAACCAAAAAGGCAAAATCTAAAGGTCTCAATATGTTATATTCTACATTATGCTGCACCCACCAAAAGAATCTTCGCTTTCTTACGCCAGATATTACGGAAGTTACCTGATTAAAATAGTTAGCTATCAGGCATCTATCACCGCAATTAGTAAACCGTCCGCCGTACAGGTCTAACAACATGTCACCAAGTGTCCTGTCTAAAAAAATCAAAACTTTTCCAACGTAATCTGCTACATTAAAAGGTCTGTCTATGAAAGGAAGTGATTTTGGTCGGTACGGAACATGTTTATAGGCGGAAGGGTTTGGTAAAGGACCAACAACTATTTCAATGACGTCTGGTTTTGGAATAGCTCCTCTGAAAATCATAACCTGTGCTTCTCGTTCTGGTTGAGGATGTCCATTATCAAGGTGATTTAGTATATCCCTTTTTAAAGGCCGATATATATCAGCAATAAAAATATAGTTCGAAGTAACCGAAGCCTTTTCTGCAACAGTGAGGTTTAAACTTGATTCTGCATAAAGAAAATCAAGAAGGCCTTTAATTTCTGTTTGTGTTAAATCACGAAACACAGATGGATGATCACTTTCCCGAGTATCAATGTTGCCATATTGGGATGAAGGTCGTCTACAAATTGGAAGCCGGGAAATATTTTCTATAAAATAAAGATTAGTTTATAATAAATCGATCATAATCGGACACTTCACTAAAGATGGAATGAAAAAAAATCGTTAAAGATACCAGGCTGAAAATTTTGTACGCCAGACGCGCGTTTCGTCTTCATTATAGTTTTTAGTGACTCTCGAAGCAAATAGGTAAAAGCCAAATCCTGTACGAAGTTGAAGAGCATAGAGGAATACAAAAACCCTAAACATTTTGCCAAATACATCTACGTAATCTATTCATGAGAGTAGAAAATTCTTAGCTTTCGAACAATTGAAAGTTTTGTAAACTATTTTTGTTATACCATTTCAATGTCAAAACAGAAGTACGATTAACGAATACGTTATGAATATGGTGCGTTAATTCGCGTTCAACGCGCTTTTCTGGATTAGCCTGCAACAAAAAACTCAAATAAAAGAAAGAACGAGTAGTTGGATAAGTACAACAATGATTCAAGGAAACTGTTTTGATACATTTAGATCATTTTATTAGATTTTATGGTAATCATGAGCTTTCGCATTGACTGTGACTTTCGTATTTGTTAAAGTTTATGGTACGCATATATATTTTTGTTTTAATTGATAATCGCAAGCTTTTTTGAGTTTTTTTTCAGCTTTATGTTACTCGCATATGTTTGTAGTCTCCTACTTTTAGCAAAATCAAGGATTTTTCTTCACTCTAACTCCATGCTTCCATAATCACCTACCTATATCTTTTAAATGATTAATATTGTCTTCAACTGAATGAATAATTTTGTCTGTGATTTGTGTCACCTTGTTGTGCCCCCGTCGTAACGGAGGGGGCATTAAGGTTTTCCCTTGTCCTTCCGTACGTCTGTCCGTCCGTACATACGTTCGTCTGTCCGTATGTCCGTCCGACCGTTCGTACGTACGAAATTGGTTTCCGATCTATAACTTAAGTTTGCCTCAACCAATTGTTCTGAAACTTATACACAATGCCTATAACCCAAAAACTCAGATCAAGTTTAAATTTGGGTGGAGTTATGCCCCTTTCTAGCGTTATATACAAGCGGGGAATCAATTGTGTCCCATGGACACATCCTCCATTCATTTTTTTCTATGTTTTTGCGGTTGTGTCTTTTTTATTCACTTAGACTTTCGAAAGGAAGATATATCTCATTTGGATTGTTTTATACAGTGTCGTTTTTTTGCTATTAGATAATTCATTTAAAAAAGTAAGAAAAAGCTAGTTAAAGTACTGATGTTTACCTTTCATCATCTTAATTGACATCTTTGATGCTATGATTGATTTTGTTTGTTGTTTACCTTCCTTTCATCTATCTTATATTTCATTAAACTGTTTTCTTTTAAACATTAGTATCAAAACATATAACTGTTGTAAGGGACTCTAGTATATTAGGGAACAAAAAGAACGTAAAATTATTGGCGGTACCAATTTTGTTTCTGCATTTTATCTAGGCGTTGATAAACAATATTTTAAAATAATGAAAATATTGTTTTTTTAAATTCAAAATGGGGAAAACTTATGGTGGCAAACATTAACGAAGCATTTTTTTAAAATTCAAAAAAGGGGAAACCTACGATGTCATTAATGAATCAGTTGCAGTGTGTCAATAATATAAACATGATACATCGGTATCTAAAAAAAATACATTTTTGCAAACAACCGACAGAGCTTGTTTAAAAGGAACACATAACCTGTGAGTACCGGTGTCGAAACAATTAGATGAATCATTCTAAATCCAACAAAAACTCTCAAATAAAGATGAATTTTCCTAAATCAAACGTAAATTAAAGACGTTTTGCTGCATTTGATCACGTAAGAAATCATCAAAGATTCCAAGGATCTACAAGGCGTTTAACCAATTAATGAATATCAGACTGAGACATTTACTTCCATATATAATTTTTTTGGCAAAATATTATGCATATCTTGATTGGTTAGTGCTGATAAAACCATAGTCAGATAAAATTACCGTAATTCTCAAAGCTGTAATAAGGCGAATGTAGCTACCGATGTTCAAATCTTGTAAATCGATTCCAAACAGACAAATTAAGGAAGCACATTAATGAGACAATCGAACCAACTCTAAAAAGAGCGAGATCGGATGTTTCGACAGGCGACGTCTCCTGCTATTCATGAACCGCCCGTCATGCGAATTCACACGTAATCTCAGTCTGCGAAATCAATCCTCATTTTAAAAAGAAAGCCTAATTTTATGTTATCCGCAAACAAATATTTGTCTGGACTTTTTTTTCATTTGATAAGCCTTTACATTTAATTCAATATAATAGGATCTTCAATTTGCCACTTTCTTTGTATAAGCAGTTTGTCTAACCTTAGAGCCAGTTGTTTTCCTTTAACCATTAAGTTGAGAACAAAGTCGGTATTTGAAAATAGAGTATTGCACGAAAGACTGGTAGGCACATTCGTTTTGTTAAATTCTCATTTCCCTTTTGATTTTTCTCACTTCCAACTTCACATATCACACTTCCAAGAAGGGAAAACACATTTAACAACGAGCAAAACCCTTACCGTATAGTTAACTATAAAAGACACCGGCATGACAACATATGACACAATTCAAACGAGACTGGGGACGAACCAATAAACAAAGAACAAATATGACAGACAGCAACCAACGATAATTAAATAAATCACAGGCTTCTGACTTTGGACATGCACATAAAGAAAGTGTCGGGGTTAAACATGTGTGTGAGCGCTCAACCCTCTCCTAACCTTAAACAGTGTTGTCAACAAACTGTAAAAATTAATTGGATTTGACTTGACCAATCAGATTAACAAGAAGCGCTAAAACAACTAACGTAAAGAAAAATACCCAGAGAACAATATAACAATACACTCAATAACTAAAATTTAGTTCAAAGTTCACTTACAACTAATAAATGGTGGTATTTGAAACTACAACTAATATAATGTTGGGATGGGTTTTTAACGTTTCAGATGAAAGCAAATTCAGAAAAACTCTTCAGACGCACAAAATTAAATAATTTGTATTCAATAAATAAGTCATTTCTCATTTTCTTAGAAACAATACACAATATGTCAACAATATCGTTTTCTTATTTTATACGAACTTATACATGTAAGTTAAATGCATCGCTGGTGTTTATAAGGAGATATGTAGTAAACGTTTATGATATAGTCAATCGTTTTGTCATATCTAAAATCTTGCATAAAGATCTTGAAAAAATCTTGATGTTGTGATGTTTCGGACTCGTGATGTCTTTTCGTTGCTTCACGTCATACGAATTCCTTAAATAGTGACGAATGAAGTCTGTCATACGGTAAAGTATCCATTTAAATATCTTCATGTACTAGTAATTAGGATTTCAATTTGGGCAATTTCCAATATAAGTGCATGGCCACGGTCAAAATTTATTTTATTTTAAGTATTTTAATTCGCTGTAAAGCTGATCTAGATCTTTCTTGCACAAACATGTCTAAATGACAATATTGCAGTGTCATTCTGTATTTACAAGGTTAAAGTGTTGGCATCAGAACTTTTATATCTATAATTCTAAATAGTACAAAATAGCATTTTTCTTTCCGGTATGTGCTGAATTAATGTTATCTCAATTGTACGCTTCTATACATAGGTTATCTTGGATAAAGATTGTTTATTAGGTACGCTCTTTTCTAAAAGGACCCGAATTAAAACTGTTCGCATCTGACTTTTGTCCTGTTGAAAGCTTAAAAACTTTAGTATATAAGATCTGTTGTCACTCTTTTAATTTCCGCTGCAGTTTTAAAGATCAGTGTAATTGACCATTACTATTCCGAAAATTAAAAGAATCTTTAGAATATGAGTCTTGTAACTTCATACATGTTTTGTCATACTGTTTTGTAAGTGCAACTAAGAGCAACTGGGTTCCTTATATGTGCTAGTATTAATTTGCCTTTCATTTCTCATCTTTTGAAAGTTTTTGTATTAATCTTTCTTCCTTTAATCGTGACATATTGTGTGACATTGAGATCTTAAATCCTACGAATATTGTTTTTTGCTCATCATTTCGACGGACTTCCAGGATTTGAAATATTGGTTTTAAGATGGCACGGTAGTATTTACATTCCGGAATTAAGGTTGCTCTTTTGTGTACCCTACTTAAGTCAATGTATCTGAACAGTGTGATTGGACAAAAAATACAGTATCTACTGAACATACTTCCCAAACGCAGGGATGAATCAGGTGTAGAAAAAATATGAAATAATTTTACATATAGGTGAAAATGAATTTTTGAGAATTTTTTTTCAATTTTGTATTCACTTCATGATAAAAGACCTAAAAGCACTAGTGGCCTTATGTTTATAAAGAGAGCAAAAACAGTAAACGGTCATCATAAATATTCAAATTAATTTCTTAATATTATAATAAAAAGTACTTCAGTTAACTGTATATGTAGAATTTTGGGCAGTGTAAGATATTCTGAAAAGACTATCATTATCTCTATGTTCCAGGAAATACTACCGTGCCACCTTAAACAACTAGTTACAGCACCTGTTTGTTCATTCAATTAATTAATTACTTTGTACGTTACTATATATGCAACTACCACATATTTAATGTGTGTTGCCATTTCTTTCTTTTAAAGAAAAAGTTATGAAAAACTTACTCCTCGATGTCCATTTTTGAAAAAGATTGAAGCATTTCCTACTAGATACCTATAAATATAAGTGTTAAAGTCATAATCATTAGAGTTAAAGAAAGAAGAGTGGCTGCAATAATAAAACAAAAAAGATATTACACTTTTAAACATGTTGTTTAGTTACAAATATCGCCTCTTGAACATTAATAAGACATCAAGCAGTATATGATTAATGATCACTTCCACATGTGGATTAGGATCTGCTTACCCTTCCGGAGCACATGAGATCAACCCTGGTTTTTTGTGGGGTATGTGTTGCTCAGTCTTTAGTTTTCAATGTTGTGATTTTGTACTGTTGTTCTCTTTCGGTCGTTTTTCGTTTTTTGCCATGGCATTGTCAATATAAGAATAAGAAGATGTAGTGACCAAATGACATCAAAGTTAACAACTGGACAATTTGTTTTCAACATACGAGTTTGAATATCCCTTTGGTATGTTTCGCCTCTATCATATATGTTTTTATATTCTTAAGCAATGAAATGTCGCTGAGAGAATTAATTATGAAAATAGCGTATATATTAAATTATTTGTAGGTCAGTAATGGCAACATCAAAAGCTTAAGCACATCAAACGACTGGAAAACAACTGTCATATTCCTGACTTGGTACAGGCATTTCTTTATGTAGAAAATGATCGATTAAACCTGGTTTTATAGCTAGCTAATGAGTTGTTGCATATGATCTTAATGTGCAGGAACCTTAGTTATCTCTTCACGCCAGGAATCAGATTAAGTGTCCCTTTTCTCACCGGACGTGGCTGCGTATTTATACATCTCGCACAACCAAAAGAATGCCCCACTTTAGCAAGGGTTTTGCTGCCAGTCGAACGAAGACTAAAAGTGATCGTACAGTGTATTTGTATTATCTAGTCACCCTTAAGGGTGGCTATAATATATATAAAATATCAGTGCATTATAAAACAAAAGCTTTCACAACTCTGTTACAATGGAATTGATAAATATATTAATATCATTTTCTTTTCGAATTTAGCAGATAGGCGTTATCAAAGCACAAAGTTTTTACATAAATGAACGACACCCTCTAAATTGAGAAAATAAAACACGTAGATTGTTTTTGTAAGAGCTATGATTTATGAGTTTGAATGTCCCTTTGCTATTTTTCGGCCATATTGTACTCAATTATGTACAATAAAATGATATTCAAAATTATAATTTAAAAAGGACAGAGGTTTGACATAGTCAGGTAAAAAGTAAATTAGCAAAAATAAAATATACGATTTGAATGCATGTTTGGTACAATGTTAGCGATATGAAGGCAAATAAATGATTAATTGTGAATGAATCACGAAACACTTTATTAACTAGTTTAACTGAGTGTCAATTCACTTGGCAGATGATGTGAACATATCAGGAGACGACGCATTTGCTCGCTCTTTTCAAATTTATGCGATACCCTCAGAGGTTTTTTTTAATAGATTTGTGTTTTTTTTAATGGATTTAATGATTTGAACATCGGTACACTACTGTTGCCTCTAATTCATCGTCTTGGAAAAATCTCAACAGTCATGTTTGGAAGAAATTAAAATATAATTAACATTTTGTGATACAAAAAGTACATTAGTACTTACACGATTTAGATTCCTGGAGTCTGAAAGTGTAACATATATAAGCAAGCTTACTACTAAGACATTCATCATAATCGATTACTCCAAGTCTGAAACAAAAATTAACATTCTGAATATCTTAGTTCAGTTAAACTTTAACAAGGCTAAAAAATACCTGAAACCGAATACCAAGACATAAACTGACCACAGTGCCAAAAATCATGCGCAGTTGTTATTAATCAAGCATTCTGAATTTCATATTTTAGTCTAACCTCTATCAAGTATCAAAATAAATACATCCAAAATACAAGAACAATGACGGACCTCAGTGCTTACAATCCACGTGTATCACAGTTTATAAGTCAAACATTCTGTATATCATAATTCAGGATTAACGTCATATTCGTCGCATCGAGTATTTAACACATGTCGTATGCATTTAGATGATCTTTAAACCATTTTGTTATTTGTGCATTATTTTTTATACCTTGCTGCATCAAATAAATTTAAATCACTCATATATTTACATTGTTGTTATAAATTGCTTGTACAAATGTAAAATTTTGTTATTTTGTTATGCAATTTTGCTTTATTGTTCATACCTTTGTGCATAACATCATTTAAATCAATTGCATATTTAGTTTGTTGTCAACATGAACAAATCTTTTTTAAAGAAGGTTATGTCATGATCTACATTGATAGTATATTTGGCGTGAAATTTTGAAGAGAAACTATTAATTTTGACTTCGTCATATTTTTACTTGATTGATTTTTCAAATATTGCGATTTCGCTACATAAACGCTTCACAAGTATGAATACATTTTCCTGTAAGGAACATGGATTATAATTTCTAATTAACCGATTTGCATTATATAAAGTTTTGATATTTAATTTTTTTAACTGCCAGAGAAAATTTAATGTTAAACTGGTATATTTCTTGCTGTCCAATTCTTTTCTGATGCAATTAATCAGAAATTATATTGCGTCAGTTATTAAGATCGATGTTTTGATTTGACTTCAAATAGAATCCATGATACGTGGCAGGAAAATGTCGACACTAATTTTCCCTTCACAGGACAAGTGCGTCCGGGCAATGAAACTGTCATCAGGCACGTAAACATGTGTGAGCATCAAACCTATAGGTTTTAAACAATCAAATCAAAATTTCTAGATAGAAACAGCTCTAAAATAAGATACAGTTTGTATTATACATTGTCAAAATTGTATAATATCCTTGTTTTATATTCCCAAATCTCTGTTTGTTACCTTGATTTGTCTCTTTCTGATCTATTTTTGAGATTTGAACATCGTTAAACTACTGCCGCCTTTATTAAAGACTTATCATTTATGTAATTATGACTACTGTCTTGTATTTAAGATGATATTATATCTAAAACAAAAAGTCGAAAAAATTATGAATGGTATGATGTTATACTTCTGTTAAATTTCTGTAATTGTGCTTGTCTTATTATGTGTACGATGATTTGTACACCGGAGATTCGTTACCTTTACCGTTTTTGAGAAGTAAGGATTGTAACACCTACATCGTGCAATCGTGTATAACCGTCCAAAAGTTGTTCTTTAATGTAATTTTTTGCCATTTGTACAACGAAAACATGCGTTTCAATCATTGCACTGGGATTTGGTTACGTGTTGGTTCAAAAACGAGGATATATATGGATGGGGTCCTTCATTTCTGTTTTCCTTAATTTGTTCGCTCATTATTTTTTATCTTTAAAAATAATGGCTTTTCTGTAATTGCTTGATAACTGTATTCTGCGAATAGTTCTTTTCTGTAATCTGTATTTTTTTACCCTATACTTTAATTTTTGCAGTTATTCTTTATATTTTAGCACCCCGTTATTCTCTATTCTTTATTTTTTTTCCATCTGTCTCTATTCTTTATTTATTTTGCCCAGTATTCTCTATTTCTCTTATCTGTAAACCCCATTCACACCCTCATTAACAGTGCACCTATTTCCTATATTTATATTTGGTAGTCAACAGAAATACAAGCCTCCATTTACAAAGTTTACTCACAAATCCTGAAACGTAATTTATTCTATAATATATTCATAAGTTCAGTTTCATTTACTGAAGACATCAAAACTAAAGATGTCAACAAGTACTCGAGTACTCGAGTATCGCTTTGTAGAAAGTTAAATCACAAAAATACTGAACTCCGAGGAAAATTCAAAAAGGAAAGTCCCTAATCAAATGGCAAAATCAAAAGCTCAAACACATCAAACGAATGGATAACAATAAAATAGTATCTAGTATTTAATAGTATCTAGTATCTATAACCAATATGATAATCGTTTGATCAGTTTCCTGTAAGAACATTGCTCCTTCTTTCAATATATAACTTTTCTTGAGAACGCCCATTCGAGTTCGAGAATTCAATAGAAATGACTAAATATACTGACGGACGTGCATCACACATTTTGGTGATTGATTTTGCCAAATCATGATTAATCTTCAAATGGTTGCTTTTTGTGCTTACCATATTCCTTTCTGTTTAGAAAAATTCAATACCTGACTTACATGCGGTAATTGAGTTACCGAACGAATTTCTAAAAGCGAATTTTGAAACAAATGCTTGATTTAAAAAATAAAATATTCATGAAATATTCCTTTGAATCCATACTCCCACGATCAGCATCAAGTTGTTATGCTTCCATATTGCCGAGACTGATCAATGAGATCTGAAGCAAACCATAAGAAGGTTGTAGACAGGAATACGTCAACGTGCTGATGCGAAATTTCAAAATATCATCTTACAGTCCTTAAAACAACGGTACAGACAGACGGATTTATTTTTAAATGACCACCAATGACCTAATCAACATGTAGGGACAACGCCACGTTAATTAAATGTCATTACGCAATGCCATTTGCGAGACAAGTTTACATCTGCAACGTCAACTGCTAACTAAGTCGAATGTCATGGCAGACAGATTCAACCAATAAATGTTTCCAATATACTGAAATGCTATGACATTGACTGCAGAAAAAACATTTTCAGGCCTACAATTGAAACTGCATAATTGCCAAAACAGATTGTAAAGGGAAAGATAGAGGTCAAATCCAAAACTGACAACATGTAAAAAACAAACTGGTCGACATTTCTGTCAATCGTTTTGACGTTGGTTACAAGAAGGCACTGTCTTCGAGAAAATTAGGGTTTCAGTGCACATCACATGATTTAAAAATAAAACGTGACGTAATATATACAACTTTCACCATGGCTAAAAGAGAAAAAGACAAACAGACAAACAATAGTACACAAAACATAACATAGAAAACCAAAGACTAAGCAACACGAACCCCACCAAAAACTGGGGGTGATCTCAGGTGCTCCGGAAGGGTAAGCAGATCCTGCTCCACCTGTGGCACCCGTCGTGTTGCTCATGTTAGTACAAACCCGGTAATAAGTCTAGTTCGGTAGGTCACATTCGGGAAAAGGGGACGGGATTGTGGTTACGACATTAGGAATATATCCGCTATCATTTGTTAAACGGATATTCCGTAACGGTCAACTCGTGATGGCGTCCGTAAAATTTACGAAGGGATGATTTCAACTTTAATCTGGCTAGACTTTTTAACCATTTATATTCAAAAGTTATTTATTCAATTTTTGATTACATTATAATAATAATTGTTCACTTATTTGGTACATGCAGTGATTGAGCTAATGATTATGGTAGATTATGCCTAGGACTATATTTATCTCGCCTAAGGGTTTTACATCAAATTAAGGCAACAACCAAGAAAGCGTTTTCTCATTTGTAGATTTTTTTTTCAAGCTAGTTATTCTTCACCGAGTTGTAATCCACAGATTCAAAACTAAAAATGTTGCGAAACCGAGTGCGTTGACAGGGTACGCGTCTCTTGTTTTGCATGCGAATGTCGCAAACTAGAATAGAACACAATCGGTTTAATAAATTTCCTCTTGACAAAACTTAAAATTTTTCGTAAAACTAAGGATTTTCTTATCCCAGGAATAGATTACCTTAGCCGTATTTGACACAACTTTTTGGAATTTTGGGTCCTCAATGCTCTTCAACTTTGTACTTGTTTGGCTTTATAACTATTTTTATCTGAGCGTCACTGATGAGTCTTATGTAGACGAAACGCGCGTCTGGCGTATTAAATTATAATTCTGGTACCTTTGATAACTATTTACAGATCATACGACTATTCTGGTAGCTCAATATCTAAGACTGCAAGAACATGTCGCTTGTTAATACTTATTTTGAAGAAAATCAAGAACTGGAGCTTAATGGCCCTTCTTATTGGTGTTCATGTTTTGCATATGAATAAATGAAAACAGGGGGCTTTCGTTAATGAGAAAGCCACCTTTCGCGATAGAAAAACAAAAAACATAAAAGGAAAAATATAATCTTTAACAAGAAGCATATGTGGTTAGTACACAGGAACTTGCAAACTTATATTTTGGCTATAAACCTTTTGAATATACAGCATCTTATCATTATATGTTGTCAATATAATGGACTTCTATGCGACTGGCATACAAGTGAGAGGTTAAGCTATCTATAAAACCAAGTTTAATCCACCATTTTCTACATATCAAATTCCTGTACAAAGACAGGAATATGACAGTTTTTTCCATTCGTTTGATGTGTTTGGGCTTTTGATTTTGCCATTAAATAAAAGGACTTTCCGTTTTGAATTTTACTTGGAGTTCGGTATTTTTGTAACTAAGTATTTTACTTTTTTCAGAATAACAGATACCAGTCAGGAACCTGAATGATAAGTCTGATACCCGGATTCATTTCCATTGGATGCAACATTTCGTAACTCACCTTTCAATGTTAAAGATAAGAATGAACCAATTTTAAATGAACATGCATTTTTATGTACTTGATTTTAACATATGACTACCACTTTGACGCCATCATGCATACTTTAGAAAATGTTCAACTCTCGACCTACGAATGATGCAATTAACCGAGCAGTCAAAAAGTTGCCTATGTCTCAATAAACAGACAGTGAACCTGTATTTACTTTTCAACAATTCATAGACGATAACGAAAATATTGTAGATCAGGTATAGTATATTCAATATTGAAAATGATGTAACTAGCCTTGCGGAATACAAATAGTATGATAGGTCTGGATTTGGGTATTTCAATTATGGCCTTGATACTGATTTCTATAGTTGAGTCAATTATTCTAAGTTCTTTTTTTTTTAATTATCATCCAAACTATTTTAGTGTCATCATTCCTCTCATTCTTCTTATCTTCAGATTGTTAACTTATTCTGTGTCTGCTGTCCTTAGTTCTTGTTAGAAAAAATGAAATATTTTGTGTAATTCCTTTAGGCA